CTGTAAACAAACCGTTAACACCAGCTGCAACAACAACAGTTAACTGCTGGCTGGTTAACAGCTCATACAACAGGTTCGATGTTGCCGAGGCTATTAGCTACAGTACGCCTTGCATGCACGCTGCTGTTAACAGCAGTTCTCGCATGCTACAACAAACGCTTAACAGCAGTGCGACTGCAGCGACTGTTAAGACTTGAGACAACAGCAGCAGCAGCAGCAGCTATAAATTATATTAGCTGCACTTTCCGATGCTCTAACAAATGGGGTATTTCGGTTATGTGTTGAAATAACATAGAAAATGATAATATATGTTAATAATAAAGTAATTAGCTGCTAAGCATTTTAGTGGATTATGCCAGAAAATGAGAAAGTTAAAAAGAAGTGTATGTTAAAAATATATGCAATTCTGCTGGATGCTAAAGTTAAAGCACTTATCAATTATTAAATTACATAATTTATAAGGGATATAAAATTGAAAGCTCTAGTTCGAAGACCGTTATGGAAAAGTATTTTCTAAAAACTATATAAAAATATATTACACCGATCTGGCTTGTGATTGAATAATTTGAACATATAGCTGTCAGATTTGAGAGGCAGTTCAAATGTTCGACATGCAACATGTCTGTTGTGCAGCTGTCTTTCGACTGTTGACTCTGCTGACTCTGCTGACAGACTGCTTGCTGCTTGCTGCTTGCCGCCTGCTTATGTTGGCCGTATCCGTATCCAGCAACAACAACAGCAACAGCAGCAACAACAACAGCATAAGCAACAATACAGCAGCAACAAGAAAATGTCGCACGTTTCGTTTCGGTTAGTCTCGATAATTCAATCGCCCTGCAAAGACGTTCAACGTCGCCCGCTGCTGCTAAAAATTACAAAAAATATATAAAGAAAATAAATAAATAAACAACGCATCCACAAATCATATTCTCTCTCTCTCTCTCTTTCTCTCTCGCTCTCTCACGCTCTCTATCTCTCTATATCTTTCTCTCTCTGTTTCTTTCACACGCAATGTGTGTGTGACTTGTAATATTTGCGGTTATTTGGCATTTACCGTTACGGCGTGCAACATTTGTGCAAATTAGGTGGCAACGCTATTCAGCTGTCAACAACAACAACAAAAATAAATAAAGAAATATCAGCTAAAAACAAAAGTTAATCTTGAAAAACGTGACAAGTGCTTCAACAAATATACAACAAAATATTGCCAAAACGGAAACGGAAGTGCCGCCGATTAAATGTCTGCGAATGTGTGTGGAGCTGTGTGTAACTGTGTTTGTGCGTCGCCTGGAATTTGTTATTTATAATTAATTAATAACAATAACAACGACAAATACAACAACAACAAAAAGCTGGCAATAAACGTGAAATTCCAGGCAAAAAATAAATGTTTGCAAAAATAGCTGAAAAAGGCTGAAAAAGTGTTTACAATTCAAATGCCACGCCCACAAATTGCACAATTAAGCATTCAATGTCAGCGTTATCAAACTTAAACGGCGTTACCAGATTTCTAGCAGGCGTTGTCGTCAGGATCGCAGAATTTCCAGGACGAAATTTTAGTTTGCTGCTCAGCTGGCAGTAAATGGGTTAAAATTATGCACATTAATCGCCGAATGAATGTCGAATCAGTTGAAAAGACTGCTCTTTTTTATTGTAAGTAACGGTAGTCCAGCATACCCTTAAATCGAATCAAGTACCCTCACCAAAAAAACAAAATATTCCAATTGATATTTAAGCTCAATTCGAAAATAGTTGAAAATTAACCTTGACTCAGTAAGAAATTCTTTGAAACGTAAACTTTTAATAAGGTAGTTTTGATAATTAAATATTATCATTCATAATATTGCTTTACACTCTTACACAATCGATTACTCATTTTGATATACTGAATAATATTTATCAGTAAAGCTCAAATTAATGATAATTCTAGATAGACATAGTAAGAATTTTGTTTGCGTGAAAAGGTTTTTATTTTAAACCATCAAGTTTATTCTAAGAAAAAACTAATCAGCATATGGCGAGGTAGCTTCTCAAATATTATGAGTTTAGTTTTCATAAAAAGATTTTAGTTTAATTTCTTATTATTCTTAAAGTCATCAAGACTACGAAGAGCATGATTTTCAGTTAATGTTGAAAAATGTGCATACATTTAAAATTCAGAATTGACAATAATTTTGCATAAAAATTCGCATACGTTACAGTTTTTTTTACAAGTGAATTAATGGTTGATTAGGTAATACCCTGTAAGTAAAAAGACAGAACTTACTTATAAGAAAAGGCAGAAAGTGGATATGAACTGTAACTAAAATGAATTTTAAGAGAATAGCCATATTGTAAGGCTCTAAATCGCAAGCATTTCTTGGATTACAGGGTATACAATGAAATTAAATAGGCGTTAGCTGCACTTAAAATGAAACCTTAATAGATCAACAAATCATATTTACTACATACACATCGAGAAAAATCCAGTTCTATCTTCAAATATACACTACAAATGTATGGCATTCATACAGGTAATGAGCATGTAAATATGCACGAGCTGTGAAGTTTGAAATCATTTCCATTATTAACAGCAAAAACCCATACAGAAGCATTTGCAACAAAAACAAACAAACGAAAACAAAAACAAAAAACATACACCCTCCCAGACATAGACATACACACACCCACCCAACCCATTCAAGTTTTGTGTGGCATACCTTATCTTCATTCATAATTTCATCAACCCACAAAAAACTAAAGAGGGAGAAGAAGAAGAATACAGTAATAATTATAGCCCAGTCAAAAAGTTTGTTGTGAGGGGCCTTGCGACGTATTTCTTTTATTTTTACTATTATTATTTGTTGGTCTGCGCCGCACGTTCGCTTTATTTATTAGAACTCTGTCGATAATTACAAAATAATGCGTTTTACTCAACCCACCGCCCCCTCACCGTTTCTCCCTCGACCCACCCACATATCTATATCTTGAAGCAAGTTGAAGTAGCGTTAAAAACGCTTGGGAAAACGGTTCAGACCGAAAACGAGGTTATGCGGAGCATAAATTTCCAATGTGTGTTTTCGGTTGCGATAAGATTTCTCGATGAGTTTCGTTTTCAGTTACAGTTACCAGTTATCGGAGCAGAAACAGAACCAGCTGCAGAAATTGGTTTTTAGGAAGTTTAGCTTGGCTAATTTGTGGAGGCTACTCAACGAGGCTGAGGCTGTGTCTGAAGCGCCTTCTCCCAATCTCGAGAGGCCTCGAGACTGGAGTCAAGTGCACCCTGGAGTGGTTAACATGTGCTAGAAGGGAGTGGTGAGAATGGTGGGTTGGACTAGTTGGGTGGTCTTTAGCGTTTTGTTGAGGGTTTTGTTGTGGCGCCAAACAATTAAAATGCTACTCAAGGGTGGCAAAGGGTTGATTAAAACAATCGAAACTTCAGCAATGAAAGAGATGTTATCGATAACCAAACTCACTTTGGAGAGTTAAAATTGTGAAAGATGAAAGGGAGTGGGTTAAGTATAAGAAAAGAATAGGTTGAGTAGGTAGACGTTAATCATTATGTGAGAAGTACATAAAACAAACTAAAGAAGTACAAAAAACAATGGGTTGATGGATTAAGATGAAAGTAACTGAAAAGAATGCAAAAACTACAAGAGCTTATACGGGATAGAGCTAACTTTATAAGTGCCACAAATGGGTCAATCAGCCAACAAGGATAATAGGCAAGGAATTTGCTCGAACACGAATTTGCTCGAACACGAAACCAAAAACTCATAATAAGTGATAAAATTTTAATTAAAAATAATTTTCAGAGCAGCCTAAAAAAAGAGCACAAATTGGAACACAACTAAAAATAACAGATATATAACACAAGCATAATAAATCAAATCATATCAAACTATGGAGACAATCAGCTCTAAGATTATTAGGACGCTTTAGAAAAGAAGGCAGTAAATAAACAAAGCTTAAAGGATCACAACAAACATAAATTAATTAAATCAAGTTAATAATTCAAAAACAAAATCTCAGATTATGAATGCGGGGCAGGCAAATAGTAGTGAAATATATTCTGATATAAGTAGTTGGAGGTTGCTAAGATATTTTCACGAATTATTTACAATTATCGCAGTAAACTAAACGTGATATTTACGAGTGGCTTAAGATGAGCCATAAATAGTTGAATAGATTCCACAGTTGAGCAGGTGTCGGCTCAATTGAACTCGTTTCAGTTGCCAGTTGCCTGATTTACAACCTGACCTGGCACAATAGTATAATAATAATAATAATAATAAGAAAAGAAACAAGCGCCGACGCAAAACCAAAACCAAACAAAAATAAAAAACACCAACAATAAATTCAATAAATTGAAAAAGGGGGGCGATTATGAATGAATGAATGAAAGAATGAATGAATGTTGCTGTTATGTGAAATTGAAATATCAAAAGTGAGACAACAAATCAAACATGATAAATTACCCCAGAGGCGACTACCGATCTACGCAGGAGACAAGACAACAGAGAGAGAGAGAGAGAGATGGAGAGAGAGCGAGAGAGGAGGGCCCTAGGCTGTGGGGGCGGGTGAGGAAGTAATAAAAAAGGCGCGGGGAATTGTTTGACAAGTTGTAAACACTGGTATGCAATTTAGGTTCTTCTATGTGTGTGTGTGTGTGTGTGCAAGTGTGTGTGTTTGTATTTGTGTTGTATCTGTTAAATACAATATTGATTGGCTGTTATCGATAACGATCCGCAGATAGTGATACAAAATACATATACACTTGGAGAAAAACAGAGACCTCTACTTTAAATAAGTTATTTATGTTTTTAAAATAAGTATATATTAATCAACATTTAATTAAATTATTTTTGTGAATACAAATCAAATAACTCATTCCTGAAATAAGAATTTCGCACTCCACACTATATTTTAATTCTCTATCGTTTTCCTTAGTGTACTTGCGCTGTTTTTGACTAATGCTCTATCTCTTTCTCGCTCTCTCTCTCTCTCTCCTTATTTTTCAGGTGGTGATTTCAGGTGCATTATGTACAGTAGAAGATTACGTAATAATGTCACAGTGTGCACACAACAAAGCCATACACCTAGCTGCGGAAGGAACAGTCTCAGTGACAGACATTTCACAGATACGTAAGTACCCAATCAATTTACAACTTCCCCAAAAAAATTTACAAAAAAAAGAAAGAAAAACCCAAACAAAACACAGCTCAAGTGCGCTTGTAATAAATGTAGCATATTATGAGGCCTCTCCTCTCTCTCTCTCTCTCTCTCTCTCTCTGTCCCCTTCCTCAACCCATCTCGCTCTTTTTGACTTGATTTTTTATTTTTTTGTTTATTGACACGTCTGCAGGAAATGCCTTCACATTCCGATTTTGTTGCATCTAATTTAACAATTTTGTTGGCAGCCTTTCACAAACAATAACTTCAACAAAAAATAAAAACATTTTTCAGTAGTTGTTATTGTTATTGTTATTGTCATTGTTTTCTTGTTATTGCCTGTGTCTGCATGATGAAGTGTCTCATATTTTTCCCAAAAACCCTGCCACTTCCCTTGGCCTAAAAACAAAGTCACATTACTTTTGACTATTCAATATTTGTCTCAGTTATTAACTGTGTTGCAAACATGTTCAACTGTCACTCAGCTCATCAATCTCACATGCCTCAAAGCATTTCGATGGGAAAGAACTTAGGAATTCCATGAATGTTGCTAAAGTGCTGCTTATGAGATATGAATAAATGTATGAGTCAAATACGTAGCTGAACAGAAGCTACAAAAATATGAGTCAGAAGTATTGAATATATAATCAGAACCTAAACCTAACTTCCAAAAAGAACGAGTGTCTATTTTAGGCACACCGAAGATTCCATTATTTTGTATTTCATATTTTATAAATTAAAACATTCGAAGGATTATTCTTAGGAAACATATTAAAAATAGTATGGGATAATATGAATAGTATGGCAAGATATATTAATGAACAAAAATAGAAAACTTCAATATATATTTGTATATTCATTAAATCATTGTATATTTAATACTTGCAATTTTCTATGTCACACTCTGTAGCCAAAGTCTATTGAAGAGATTTTTGTAGACCAAGCTGTTGCCACATTTCTGCATCTCTTTCGGACATTTGGCGCATAAAGTGCCAAATTTATGACTGCAAAAACGGCTGCAAGTAAAAATAAAAACATTTTTTTCCGCAAAACGAAACGCGTCAACTTTCACTGGACTTTGTTGGCAGGCCGCAAAACTCAGCCCAGAGTCCATTTCACGTTGCAACCCGCACAATAACAACCAACAGCCGTACCAGGGCCTAATTAGAGCCGCTGCCTGCAGCTGTCCCAAATAAAAAGAAAAAGATACACTCAGATAAGGGTCGCAGCACGAGCTACAGCTAGTATTTCCCAGCAGGACCTTAAATTTATATATATACATATATATTCCAACTTCTGTTACTCGACAATTGTTTGTTTTTGCACATTTTCAAGCAGCACGACAAATTTTTTTCTTTTCTTTTTTTTGAACAACAGGTGTAAAATGCGTGAAAATTCCAGCTGGTATTTAAAAACAAAACCAGCAACAAGAAAACCCAAAAACAAAAGGAGCAAAAAGGGCCGCAACACTTATAGCTAATGTGTGAAAAGTTGCTTTGTCAATTTGCACGCCCATCGAAGGCTGCTTTTCATTCATTTGCATGAGAGACTGCGTTTTATGATCGGCAGTAGTCCTGGTAGTCCTCAGGTAGTCCTTCCTGGATTATGTATGTTGCTTTTATGAATCAAAATATGTATTTTTAGGGTACACTACACTAAGCTGCCGGGGTTTAACCCAACTCACACTTGTACTCAAACTATTTGCGGGTATTTCCAAGCCAGCCAAAGGTTGTTAATATGAGCTCAGCTTATGCGAAATTACTGGAAAATTCAAGAAAAATAAACTATGGGCATAAAAGATACAGACAGCAGTAAAAAATATTTCATGAAGTGTATAAAATTGAAATTCTATTAAATCAATATCAAACTTTCTAGATAATATTGAATTTAAGATATGTATATTTTTATGATTTTTGAATTCCTTACAACACGAAAGCTATGTACCACATATTTCAGTTCCCTTCTCAGCAATATTTGCACCCGCATCTCTAGCTGAACCGCTCCTGTACCTTATTAGCCCAATCCAGCGAGCCCCGTGGCTAATGAATCTTGACATTTCAATCAACGCACTTTCACTAACCCCCCTAGGAAAATAGAGAAAAGAACCACAGAATAGACCACAGTAAAAACCAACGCAAACGAGCGCTTTCCACAGACTTTTCTGGGGGGGAAACCCGACAATAAATCACATGATTTAATTTGGAGACTAACGTGAAAAATGCACACAAAATTCGCCCTACTCAAAGGCGAAAAATGTTGAGGTCGCATATAGAATATCATACAAATATCGAAAGGGTAGCAAACTGCTGAAGAAAACCAGCACTAAGACTATAACTAGGGCTAGATGAGCTCTCTGGGGCAATAAAACAATTTATAGCTCATCATGTGCGGTCATAAATTTAAGAACGCAATCATTTCGTTTCTGAAATGCTGTCCCTTGCCCCTGTCCCTGTCCATGCCACTTCCCCTGCCCCTGTCCCGGTGGCAACATTGTCTGATGTCCAGGGCGTTGCCCAATCAACACCTCCTCACCTCCCCCCCACCCAAGAGAATTACCGCATGTAACAAGTTGCAAGCTGTTAATTTCGTGAACAAATAGACAAGGGTTCCAGGTCCCTAGTGATCATTGTTTTTAATATGACGACTCTGGCCTCTGGCCCTCTTCGCTATGTTTTCGGCTAGAAGATTTGATTTTTCAATGGAGGTCTTTTTTCCAGTCGGTCTATGTTTTTTGTTTGCCTTGTAGTTCATTAAAACTGTTTAGCATTGTTGGGCATCGTTGAAGGCTGCCCAGCGCCAGCGACAAGATCAATCAAAGTTTAAAATAAATAAAAAAAACAGCCTCAAAGTAAAGTGAGATAGCTTTAATAACTTTATGGGCAAGTTGCTATTTTTGAGCAGCTGATTTGAATATTATAATCATGTGATATTAATATGAATAGGAAGCTTCCATTAATTAAATTTTTCGCTCTCAAAGCTTTTCTACACGCAACTCGAACTTTATTGTTTTAAAATTCATCTATTTGATCTTTCTATTATATTATTATCAAGACTTTAATTAGATCAGACTAACCAAATACAATAAAAGTATTTTTGCTCTCATTTTGTTTATTTAAAATCTGTCCCTACGGAGAAAATCATTAAATTTTGTAACAACATTTTAAAAGTTTTACAAAAAAACCGGAAATTAAAATATACTCCCAGTTTATTCATAGCTCTGTAAGCAAATGTTTTATGCGAGACATTATCTATAGCTATAAATACCAAAAGCATCTTTACAATAAATTTCAATTAGTAATCTGGATTCTTGTCAGGGAAATTCCTTGGGTCTATAAATCTAATCATATTTAAATACAAGACTCTGTTTACTATTTAATTTAGTTTATAAAAAAGCTAAAACTCAATGTCAAGCAAGTAAATATTATAACTAGACACAATATACAAACTAACGACCTTTACAAGAAAGAGAAAAAAGAAGAAGATGATTTTACTCAATGAGTTAGGTGATAATAATGTGGGAAATATTTAGCACCATCATTACAAACATCATTAAAATTTAAATAGATGTGTTTAACATGAAAAACCCGAAAAACGACAATGTATGAAAGTTTTTCGACAGAGCTCGAAAGGAAATCATGCCGTGAAAATTCCAAGAAATAGCACATATTTTTTGTTGGTAGGGGTAGGGGTAGGGGTAGGGGTACGGGATTAGGGTAGGGGTAGTCATTGAACCTGCTCAGCAGCGCAGATTCATCAATTAACGCCCCGCAAAGAGTTCGACTCTGGAGTGGTGCAGTGGTGTGGCGGTGCGGAGTGTGGTGCGGTGGTGTTAAGGGGCGGTCACTTCATTAAACGCCGTCCAAGTTGTGGACAAATAAATGCATTTCCGTTGCGCACAAACAAATTTCCAAGAGACGCCGACGACGACAACAACGTTTGAAATTCTCAACTGCATTTTTTACCTACCGCGCGAGACAGAAGAAAACGAAGAAGAAGAAGTAAGGAGGTGGAGAGAACGGTTAAAAAACATGGTCAACAACAAAGCTGAACAAGTGTACCGCTTGCCGATCGTCAGTCGTCCGTCCGTCCGTCCGTCCGTCGAGAAACTCAACTCGGAGGCAGGTTCGACAGTTTTTCTTCTTTTGGTCAATTGCTTCTTCTTCTGCTGCTGCTGCTGGGCTGACCGCCATTGATTTCCACTTAACGCTTCAAAACTCAAGTGGCCATTTCAAGTTTACAGTTTACAGTAAGTAAAGGGAGAAGAAAACATAGTCAAATGCGCTTTCTTGGCCTCTCCATTCCTTCGTCTCTCTTCTCTTCTCTCCTCTTCTCGTCTCGTCTTGTCTCTTTCTTCGTTTCGTTTTCAATCGCTGTTTCAATATTATTGTTTCCCACAGTTTCCCAACTTGTGTCTTGGCTATGAAAATATTTAAGCGCCAATTTGATGTAGTTTTTCCCCATTCCCTCGAAAATCAAATCCACATTCCCATTACAATGTCCAAGTCCTCTCTGCCCTCTCTCTCTCTCACTCTCTCTCTCTCTCTCTCTCTCTCTCTCTCTCTCTCTGTGTGTCTCTTCTCAGTTATGCTCTGCTCTGCTCTCAACTTGAATTTGAATAACAATGGCTTGTTTTTGAACTTCGGCTTGGCTTCAAAGCGTTTTTGCCCTCTTTGTTTTTCTTGCTGTCCAGCATCGATCTCTTCACTTTTTCTATTGGTTAATGAGCGTTTGCATTTTTGATCCATAAACGCTTCAATGGCAGGAGCTGCCTTGTCAGCAATTACGCACTTCAGTCCAGCGACTGACAAAGGAGCTGTAACTGAAGCTGAAGCTGAACTCACAGCTCTCGCAGCTAGTCAATGCATTCATTGAAATCAAAAGTTCTTAGAATTGTCTACTCCTCTCTTACTTTGTATTTTTTTTTTGGAGCGTGAGAACATATTTGGTTTAGTTTTGATAAAGTTTTGTAGTAG